CCGTTTCAGGTGATCATATATCAATAAATTTTTATAATTAGAGTGGCTCCCAAAAGTGTTCTTCACTTATAACTTTTATTGAAATAGGAAATAAAAATTCATTAATTAAAACAAATATTTCACAATGGGAATTTGATAATAAGATATATAATTTATTTTTAGCAAAACTGCATGGAATATTTTAAAAACAAAGCAAAAGTTAATTTTTAAGATATCAATAATCAAATAGTAACAAAAATTTTACCCCATCATTTTAAAATTTACCAAGTCATCGTACAGTTAAATGTTTTCGGATTTCAGAATTAAAATTATCGTCAATTGCTTTAATTTATTTATTTAATTATTTTTCACTTAATTTTTTATTTATTTATTTGCAATTTAGTATCAAACTTATGATAGCAAAATTATATTTCAATTTTTGCTTGCTAACTCCATAATAATTTATTTTATCATTTAAAAACAGCTTGTGATCGTAATAAATCAAGAGACCAAATTTGATTATTTGTCATCATAAGAGGTAAATCAGTAATGAATATGTTAAATTAGTTTATTGTGTCCTATTGCACAGTGCAATATGTGTTAAAATGCATAAAAGAAGGACTTCATATCAGAGATTAAAATTATAAAATTTGTGAAAAAATTCATAAATTCGCAATTGAGGGTTGTAAAAGTTTCTATAAAATTTTTAAAAAAATATTCTGCACGAATTTCACCTGACAAAAAAAAACTAGTTACATGTATTTTGTATTTACAAACTTATAAAAGCTATTGTAGATACGAAAAGAAACTCTACTAAATGTTAATTTAACGAAAAATTATAATATTTACTGACAGAGTTTTTTTTTTTTTAAGTAGGATAAAGTTTTTGTCACTTTTTGATGGATTTCTTAAAAATAAACTTTTTCTTCGTCTTTAAAATATTCCATACAGTTTTGTTAAGACTAGAATACATTTTTTATTATTATATATCCATTCTGAAGTATTCATTTTAATTAATGGATAGTCTTATTTCATTGAAAGTCATAAGTGTACCAACACTTTTGTGAATCACTGTAATTACATTTCAATATAAAGCTGTACTGTATACTGCATTATATTGTATTTTATCTTACCAGTGCTTTTTATAAAATTCATTGAAGCCAATATTTCAAGTCAAATTTTTAAATAATATTGTTTTGAATTAGCATTATTATTTTAAGAAATTCAGTATACGAAAATAAATGTCACAAATGTGAAATTGTCCAATTTTTTGTTCTATTCACTATAGGAAAAAAAAATTCCTTAATTTTATACTTTTTTGATTTTTTTTTCTTATTTGAAATTAAAACATTTAAAGAATTTCAATCTAAACACACAGCTTTTTAGTTTAGCATAGTTAATTGTTTTTGTGTTTTAATAACTAGAATCTTGTACAGCGCACAATTAAAACACAAAATTTCGTTTCCCTTTTTCCGACTAAACACAAATGAATAATAAAAAAATTACATGTTTATACATCATTTAATATGTTTCCTATATATTCCTTAGTCTTTATCAGCTTTTTAGGGTAAAAGGAGGGACAGTTTTGGAAATATCATCTCTGGAATACAAGCAACATTTACGAACTTTCGATATTGTGATAACTGTACAATTCGAATTTTGAATCAAAAATCAAATATTTACCAACAAAACAGTAAAATTAAATATTAATATATAGTTAGTTCCAAAAGAAAACCTTTTTTTTTAAATATGTTATAAAAGGTTAAAATGAAATAGAAAAAATTAGCATTAATGCAACAATTTGTCGACAAACATTGCTGTTAACGATTGTAAAAAAATGTGATTGGATGGTTTGCTGAGAAAAAATAATTTATAGATTTCTTTGAATGGGAGTACGAAAGCTTTCAGAAAAAGAGTGCAATATAAAATCTATTATTATTAAATTATAACCATCTAATTTTTGGAGAATTTTATTAAGTTAAAAATACAAAAATATTTTGACTCATTTAGTCAAAATAGAAAAAAATTACCACCAAAGCATCGGAACAAACTTGAGCCATAAATGGATTCAGTCCACGGACAGAATTTAAAAACAGATGCAAATATCCTAACCCCTTCTTCCACGTCCAGCACGGTCTTCGCTTTTCCTAAATTGCACAGTCTCATAGTCTCCATAGAGATCAAAGGTTTCTACATTTGTTTAGCAACCCTGGAAGAATTTTATGCAGCATTCTAGTTTAACAGGGTTATAATGGAGCAAATTTGGATGCAAACAAAGTATAGCTAAGTTGATGACATTTTAACTGTTTGGAGATACATTTCCGTCTGAAAAATGTGGGTATAATGGATGAAATAATTTAAATTAAGAAAATTAGTAAATAATTTAAATTAGTGAAGTAAAAATTTCCAGCTCTTCTTTAAAATTCCCTGATTTTTGCAGGTTTTTATCCAAATTTCCCTGATTTTTCCAGAATAAAAAAATTCCCTGATAATTCAAGGAGGGTGGCCACACTGATGTTCTTATGCATTTCTTTTAGCATATTACCAATCTGAAAGAAATTTTTTCTCAAGCCTAATATTAATATCACTCTATCAGTTAACTGAAATAAAAAAACAGTGTAATCAGAACTTTTGGTGGAGTACTTACAATTTTTCATTGTGATAAATATACTGTACTGAAATGAATTAATTAATCTGATTTTTTTCAAATCCCATTATCTTCTTTTACAATAGTTCACGGATGAAAAACAGTTCTTTTTGCAATAGTTTAGCTCCTTTGTGACAGTTCTAAACTTGACTGGAACATATTCAGAAAAATTGCTTGTTTCATCCCTTCTGTTACTAACAGTTGCTGTTGTTACAGTTAAGAGAGCTTTCCCTTATCAAACATTAGTTAGTTTGATTAAGGCCTGAATATTACGCGGGAAGAGAGTAAACTTGTCTAATGGCCAAAATATAATTTTAAATTTACCAACTGAAGGTTTTTGAGATTCAAATTGTACACTTTATTCAAGGTTGTGTCTTAATGATTCGTTTAAATTTTATCATAGTCCGAAAAGTATTTATCTAAAACGTTCAATCAAATATATGTGTCAAAGCTTACGTTTGTTACTCAGGGAAAATAGCTACAATTTATTTCTATCTCAATTAAAAATTTAAGGCTGCATTCATATCACTGTGCAAAATCATGTTAACAGATGCAAAGCACCAATCAGATGCTCTATCTTTAAGGGCTTACCAGACTAATTTAGTATCTGATTCGGGCAGCATTAAGCCACACAATGTGTATAGTAAAATCCATACTGTATACACTGAGATAGACTTACAAAATTTTAAATAAAATAAAAGTAATACAAATATAATCATAGAAAATGTAAGGCCTCAAAAATCAGTAATTTGTAAAGGACCTCAGCTTCCCTTAATATGATTCCCTTACTGAATTTAAATTGGTTTCTAGGCAAGGATCCTCATACATTTAACCATCCTCATCCAGTCTCTATTCAATTTCCTTCTGCTTTTGCTGAAAGAACATAAAACTTCGGACATAAAACTATATGATGTTTTTTAAATAAGCTTGCCAATGAGTATCGATGGAAATTTTATAAAGTGATTCCCTTAGAATTGCAGAGATAGCAACTGAAAATTTTAAAAATGCTCTCATTTAAAGACAAAATTTCCAATACTGTTAAATGCTTAGCTCTTTTGGGACTGATAATTATTTGCAATGTGTCTTGCTTCGTAATTATAACTCTAGCAAATAAAGAACAAGATACATTGATTGTTCTAATGCATTAGGGAAGCAGTTATTCAAAATTTATTTACTTTTATCAGCTCAAAATTTAAATATATTTATTTTAATTTCATAAAATTAATAGAAACTAAGGTAGATATGTGTGAGTAATAATTATTTGCTTTGTAATTAGATTTTTTCCTAGTTTAAAAAATATTCAGACAATGAATTATAAAAGGAAACCTTAGTGACAAAATTTATAGGGATACAATATTAATAATAAAATAAAATTTTAATAATATTAACTGTAACTAAGATAGAAATACATATGACATAAATAAAAAATTAAAAATAATTATTTAGTAAAATGCAGAAATTTTTGTGTAAAGATCACAAATACTAAAAGAATTTTTATTTGTAACAGATAAAAATTGGTGACAAGAGGGAATCTATTGATATTAGTCTAGAGGGAGTCTTAAGACCAGTAAAGGGAGTCTTAAAACCAGTTTTATTTCAACTGCAGTGAATTGGAATAAAACAGTTATCTGATATATAGCTATTTAGTTTAATATGACACAGTATAGCAATCCTATGTATGCTTTCTTTTGAATTTTTAACAATTGCAGAAAAAATGTAACAATATATAGCTCTCAGCTCTTATTTGTTTTATAGTAAATAACTTTTTTTATTTTCCAGAAACTGGGTTCTAAGAATATTAATTTTTTTCCTTTATATTTTCAAAGTCCATATAAAAAATCTCTGCAATTTCTTTAAGGCTATAGCTCAAATTTCTGTCCAAGTATGCCGGGATAGTGGTATCTCACGAGTCGGACCTCTTTTTATATTCATTAATTAGTTTAAGAATGCTGCAGTTGCTCTACTAAAAAAAAAAATTTAAAAAAACATTATCAATAATTCAATGAATGTGGAATTAAAAATATTTCTTCAAAATGAAATACAATCAAATTAACACTATTCAATTCAAATGGACAACAGAATGAAGTGATCATATAATAAGAATATGCCCGCCACTTGAAGTGATTAAACTTTAGAAAATAATTGGTTAAGCAAGAAAAACATTACATGCCAAATAGAATATGCCTTTCTATCTTCTTTAGGTGATCCTTTACACAATCAAAACTCCAAGTAAAACAAGTAACCAGCAATTTCAATCTATTTCAATCCAAGAACAGGAATTGCGTAAGCAGGCTTTAATATATGTGAAATATGTTTTGTAAACTTCCATAATTGAGTCATTAAACACAGAAATGGAAAGAAAAAAGTCAAGACATAGTAAAAAAAAAAGTCTGTTTTATTTTATTTTACTTACTATATCATACAAATCAGTGAAAAATTTTAACTTCCTCGTAGAATGCATTAAGATTCTCATCAAAAAGTGCTACTTCATGACAAATGTATTTTCGTAAAATTAAAAAAATATAACTTAAGTATTTTGCATACTTTAACACGCCATTCACACACTGAACAATAAGTCTATGAGTATTCTTTAAAATAAATCCATGAGTATTTTTTATTTTTATGAGTATTATTTAAAATATTATTGTTTCGAATACTCTTTAAAATTATAAAACTGAATGATATAAATGACTGGGTAATACATAACCAAATTGTGCAATTACAGTATTTTGTTAAATCCGCCCACTTATTAAAGTGATAGTAATTTAGAATGATTGATGTTTTTAATGCTCTATATAATTAGTTCATAGTTATAAAAATAATAACTAATAAGATAACGGAAATTAACTAAAAAGACTTAACTGAAACATTACCAATATTTTGTAAAGAAAATTCACGCCTCTCTAAGCGAGAATTGTTTAAAATGGTAGGAATCTTATTTATGCTTAAAATAAAGTTAAATCATTTTAAAAATGATAATTGATTTTAGTCATTGAATACTCGTTGAATGATAATATAAGAAATAATAAATGCATATATGCTTTTTAAACTTATTGGTTTTTTAAAATATATTTATAATATTAAATACAATAATTGATTTAAATATGTAAATATATATTTAAACTAAATAATATCACAAAATATTTAAAATATCTGCACCAGATATATATTTAACTATAAATTCAACGAGTATTTGCAATTTAAAGTATTTGCTCAAAATCATCAGTATTTCTAATATTGCTTAAAATTAATTTTTCGATACACTTACAAATATAAAAACAATCATTGATATAGGTGATTAGATACATATATATCTTAAACCAAAATAATATCAAATTAAAATTAATTTCTTTTCTTACATGATTGATATTTCTAATAGTACTTTAATGGATTCTAATACCTTTAAACCAAAATGATATAACAAAAATACTTTAAATATTTGGTATTGTAATCACAGACCTCAATAAATTCACATGAGTATTTGGTTAAAATAAATATTCCTAATACTACTGATTACTAATATAGAAAACTCAATATAGATACACACATTTTTAACTAAAAGTATATAACATGAATATCTGTAACAGTTCACAATTCATCCGTAGAGTGGACAACAAATTTATATGGATATTACTTTAAAATTAGAGAATCAAATATTTTTATACATGATTTATAATTATAACAATAATAATTTATGCATATAACAAAAATTACTTAATACATTTTAACAGCTTGCTAACATATATCTTACATATAATATATGTAATAATAACATATAATGACGTAAGATATATATCAATATATCTTACATATAAAACATGAATATTCTAGATTTTTCTATATCAATTATTAGGAAAAATAGAGAAATAAGAGAAAATGCAGGATCAGTAGAGGAATAAGTCTTTACATTAAAACGGCATATAAAACCTAATCTACTTTTAATAAATTAAGGGAAACTAAGTAACTTTTTTATTTCAATCAAATTGGTATACTATATTTCCTTACATATATGGAAAAAATGATAGGTAGTGCTGTATTTTATTAAAAATATAATAATGCTTCTTAAACTATAAATGAATGAAATGAAATTCTTATACATTTGAAATTCTTACGAATTATCACACACAAACATCACTTATCTCTCTTACTAGATAGTTAAAGTAGTAAACTGATGTGTCAAAAGTTTTTAACACCCTATTTTTTTTGTAAAAAAAATAAACTATACAATTATGAAAATCAATATTTTAAATTATTTCTCATTTAAACTACTGCATTTAAAGTTGTTAGTATTGCTACTAACTATTGTATTTAAAGTTCAAATAAGCAAGAATGAGAGACAAGTTTCTACAAATAATGAGGCAGTCTAGCATATAGTTTTCATTAATTTTTAACAGACTATTAAAAAATATATACCTTGCTTTTATTGTGCATTTAAAAAAATTCAAAATTTTAATGAATGTACCCTACTTTTTTTTAAAAATTAATAGTTAAAATTTTTATCTTAAGATCTAATTAAGATAGAATAGTATACAGATTTTAATGCAAAATTGCCAGGAAATCTGTTTTTAATCACCCTATGCCTGAGAAAAGAGATTTAGTCACTTTTAGTTATCCAAGGTATATTGAATCAATTATAGTTTTACTTGAAACACCATAAAAGGAAAACTCACAAATTTTTAACTATTAATTTAAAAATAGATTGAAAAATTGCTTGATCTTTTATTGGTACACAGAATAATAATAGTAAACTATAAAGCAGGATATTTTTGCATTATCATAAGAGTAGGAATAAAAATAACAATAAAGCCTATAGTTAAACAAAAATTTCAGCAGTGCTTTATTTTGGAGAGGGAAACAGGATAGAAAAAACTTAGAAAACAAACCAATGACTTAGATTCTATAATTGTTTTGGCATGACTGTTGTTAACAACCAAATCTTTCATGAGAACATCAGTTATATTCAATGAATACTTTAGAATTAAGATAGTTTGGTCATCTGGACACGTTCCAGCATTTTTCGAACAACAAAAACACCATGCAAATAGGTTTCGAATCACCTCACCCTTCTTGAGTACAACAACAACTACAGTGTATGCTTCCAGATAATCTTCACATTACTCTCTCACTAATATACAGATAAATAGAGAAATATCGTGAATTCATTTTTTTAATGTCAATTTATAACCATCAGGCAACAGACTATCAATACTCTTTTGAATATTACAAATATCTACACTTCGTCTACCATCATGCAAATCATTCAGAATACTCATTTCATTTTCTTGTAGATGAAAATCAAAAATCTGCAATTAAAACAAGAATTATATTGTTTTTAAGAACTAATGCATAAAATAATAAGTATGGATGCTTAAATTTTTTTAAGTATTCTAACAAAACATTACGTCTTTAAATTTTAAAATTTTTCCATCAACTACTTTGAAAAGCCCTTTGATATTTTGATATGTCAATGTGATTTAAGATTCCGTCTTCATTTAGTTTTCTTAAAATCTATTGCCCCAACAACAGTTTAGTCAAAGAACAAATAATTAAACATAATTAAAAAATTTATTACATCTTAAAAAAGCTTAAATGTATTAAAAAAATTTATTATTTAAATAAACAAAATCTTTGGTTTTTATCACTAAAAAAACTTTAGTTTGCAAGCATAAATCTCATTAACCTTCCAATCGTAGAACCTATGGGAAAAATTGTACAGATAGTTTACTGCTATTCACTTTCTTCTTTTCAATAAAATGGAGAAGCTAGTTTTTTAGTTCAGGCAAGCCTGCATCCAAAAGTTCAGAAAAAGCTTGGACAAACGTTCAGAAGGTTAATATCTTTTTCCTTTTGTGAAAAACAGACAAGTTCATATGTTTTCACAAAATATTTCATTTTATTGTGAAATAAACATTTAGTAAGAAAGAAATGAACAATACCTTACAATTTTCTTTCACTCTTTCAATTTGGGTAGATTTTGGAATAGCTATAACTTCATTCTAAAAATATTGAAAGAAACATTAATAAGCATAGTTAAAAACATAAATAAAACTTAATTTGAATTTATCAGAAGGCGTATTAGTTTAAGCAAAAAATAATCAAACAAAAATGAATTCTTAAAAACAATTAAATTAAAAATTACTTTATTCAACAAAAATTAGGGTTGCAAGTTAATCAAAAAAAAAATGAAATTTGTGAGAATTTTTTAAAATTTTGCAGGAACTTGAAAACACAAATAGATACAATATTTGCACTGAAAGATATAATGTGTTATGGATTGACTGGTGCTATGTAAGCATTAAATTCGTTGATCAATTCTTCATCCTTAAACATCGGGATATTATTATAGATGAAGAATTGTTTTCTCCATGGCAAACATCTAAATATTTATATTGACTGGGTTTTAAAAAAAATTCAGCATCCTTTAAAAAAGCTTGAAGCTGGTGCACGGGAGCATTGCAAATGCTGCAAAATGAAAGATTTTGAATAAAAAAATAAGAATAAAAAAATTTTAAAAAAAACTTTTTTTTATATATTTACATTATTAAAAAAACCTGCTTTTCAAAAAAAGGCTCATATTTTAAGCTCTTGAACTCAATGGTTTCAAAATGAAATGGGATCTCCTTTCAAAATAAATATGATAAATAAGTTTTTGCTAAAAAGTTGTTACAGAATGTTTCCTGTTATCAATCCAATCAATAAAACAGCAATCTAAGATGAAGAACAAAGAGGTAGAACGTTTTACGTTCAAGAAACACAACCCATCTTTAATGTCTAATAACTCTCATAGAGAACTTATTATCCACATCATTGATTTGTAGAAATTTAGCAATCAACAAAATACAACAGACAGTCGTGAAGATGGACATCATTCCTTCTCCTTGAACTTAATATTCCTTTGTCAACATTTTCACATGCTTTTTCAACACAAAAGCTTTAGGAATTTTATTTCCCAGTGCAATAGCCTATGTAACATATGATCAACAATTAATTTCAGTAATCTTTCTGGTAAAGAGAGACTAATACAGTAGAGAACCAATTATCCGGGATGCTCGGGACCATCGCTATCCCGGATGTCTGAATTTCCCGGTTTTCTGGATCGACCAAAAAGTGTTGTTAATCGATGTTTTATCGAACCCGAATTACAAGGAAAAAGCGTAATGCATAAAGTAAAAGAAAAAAGAAAGGTACTCCTAACTTTAAAAAGAAATGGTATAAAAATAACATTTAAAAGAATAAAAAAATTTGCAAGTTTAGACAAGAAAAACATGTTTAAAAAATACAAAACTCTCATATTTATTTTTTAAAAATAATTACAATTTCTAAATTAACTAATATAAACAAAACCAATGGTTAAATAACGCAATATATTTCATACCTAATTATACGGGGGAAACGATAAAATAAAAGGAAAACTTATTAATCTAAATAAAAACACTTGAAAATTATCAAATCGAAACAATAGTTAAAAAAGGCACTAGCATAAATATTAAAACCCGGAACAAGGCAAGATCAACGGAATTTTAAAAAAAAAAAAACCTAATGATAAAATTTATGAATAAAAAGAATTCATTTATTGAGTGCGAAATTTATCGTGAAAAGAAAAAAATATCAAACGTAGTGGAATCAGAAAAACAAAACTGCAATCTGCATCATAAAATAATCCTATGTTTAAATTAATAAACAATTCTCCTTTTATATATTTTTTTTTGTTGATAAAAACACGATATTTAATTACAGCAGATGTGATTCCACACCAAGAAAAACTTGCAATTGATACAGCACTTCCAAAGAATGAGAATTTATTCAGAAGAAACATATTTTATTTTTATTAATCGATGTCAAATAGATAAATATATTTTTTTCTTTCATCTTCTGTTCACTGATATGCATGCAATGCATTTCCCCCACCCCGCTCGTAAATCAAACGGAAAACGAAATCAGTATGCCACACCCTTGAGCTTGATTGACGGCCTAAAGGAGAAAATAAAACATTCCTACCTTCAAGGTCACGGAGGAAATGACGTTTCTCTGGGTAAGCGGGGAAAAAATTCTCCCCTTCCTTACATTTTCCTCTACTCAACTTCAAGGATGAGTACAATTTCCGCTTTTTTTAATAATCGTTCTAGTTTAAAATGGCGGGAAAACCAATCAAAATTTTTCCCGGTTATCTGGATACCGGATAAATGGTTCTCTACTGTACTTCCTTTCTTTTATACTTTTGTATTTCTACGGTCTTTCAGACAAACAGGGTCACCTCCCTTTATCACTGCTCTTATCTTTGATCTATTTTCTACTAATTTTGCTTGACATAATCAATTCCAAGGCTTGGAAAAGAAAAAATTATCATTAAAATATAAGCAATGAATTAAAAACTGCTCTTTGAGCAAATTGCAGCATTTAAAAAATATGTGCAAATTTTAGAAAAAAATTACAGAAATTAGAGGAGAAATTTGCATAATGAAAAACTTGCAACCCTAATCATGAATTAATCTTAAAAAAAGAGTTATTATATGTATTGAAACCAAGAAATATTGAAACAGCAAGTAATATAATTTTACATTAGCAAGAGTATTCTGCAAAATAGAAACAACCAAATGATTCTGAACTGCAACCTTGTAAAATACCATTTGGCAGACTCAATAGTAAAGAGTTTAATTCTGACCGAATCTTTTCTTCTCTTTTTTTACCAGACCTTTACTTCAATGGTCTGACAAGGTCTATTACCTTATTTGATAAAAAACTAATGACATGGTCTTTGCTACTAGCTATTGCCTTCAGACAAGATTTTTGCTACTATTAAATACAACTCTACATTCTAAATTTTTCTCCATTAAACACATTCTCCGCAAACGCACATCTCCAAAAGATATTTGTCAATTTATTTTACTATAAATATATTTCTATATTTAAACTTCTTTTGTCAAAAAAAAAGACAAATGTTATGATTCCAAGTTTCAGTATTAGATGTAGATTCAGTATTACTTTTGAGATGAAAATACATGGATAAGTTTTGAGTGTTTATTTAAACTCAAAAAGCAATAAGGCATAAAGTTAAACACAACATATTAAAAAAAAATAACAAACCTGAATGGACCATCTTATTAAAATTTGAGCTGGAGTTCGTCCGCACCTTCTAGCTACTTGAAGTACAGCTTTTTCACCTAAAAGTTTTCCCTTTCCTAGAGGACAATATCCCTAAATAGAAAAAAAGCTTTCAGGAATTATAATATACATAACATACTATTTAAAGCTGAACAAGCTTGAAATGTCAGTATTTTCTGCTTTGTGTGAAACCTTTTTCGGTAGTATTAGGTATTGGTAGATTCGGTCGATTTAGGTTTTAATATTTAATTTCAAAACATGTCCAGCAGTAACAGGAAGTCTTTATGATAAATAATGACCGATTAGAGAAAAATTGCAGACTTGTCTATCATAAAACATTTAATTTTAATTTGTGTATTTGTTATAAATTTTAATTGTTGATTCTCCTTTAATGTTTATTGTTTCTTTTTCTTCCCTGTAACATGTAATATTGAAAATTGACTATTAACAAGTGTGGAGTGTTATCACACTAAACAATTGCATCAAAAGCTACTGGTTAAAAAAATTATTTGTCTCTTGGTTTAGTATATTTGATTTGAAATTATAAATTTAGCCTACCACAACATAAATGTGCATGTAAAAGTTCACTTTGTTCCAGTTATCTTCTGATGGGGCCTTTAAAGTACATTTAATAATAACCATAATTTGCAAACTTTAGCAAAGAATTTCCTACCACTTTAAAAAATGTTTTGCATAAAGTGAAGCAGTTGGCCTTCCTGCATATTTCTTGAAAGCAAAAAATTATACTTTAATTTTATTTCAAAATTCTTGTTCCTTTTAGTCAAAATTATATAGTTGTGATGTGTGGTTTAATTTGATACAGTAGCTTTCTATTTACACATTAATTAAGATAAATAAATAAATAAATTAAATAGCGGCAATAGTAACACCAAATCTCCACATGATTCTGATCTTTCTGGTTCTGAAGCTGCCAGAGACTTGACATTTATACAAAGCCAAAGAACATAATAAATTTTTAAGAGCATGTATATCATACAGTTTTTTCCTCGATTATAACTTTTTCTTAACATACAAGATATCCAAAAATTAAATGTTATGCTCTACTGTTTTGTTTTAAGAATTATCTATTTCTTATTGTTTCTCTTTTGCTTTTTTTTTTCATAGCTGTTAGTAAATCTTTTCTTCTTCATTATTTTTCCATAAGCAGTTAATTTTGATTTACCTTTAAGGTTCCTAGTATTTATTTCAATTAACAATTTCCGTTCTCTATTTTTTCTTTAATAAATTTCAGTTTTTTTCAAATTCCAGTTTTATTACAGCAAAATATTAGCATGAAACACTGAGAATTTTAGTGTTAAATAATAAAAAGAAATGGTAATAATGTAAAAAATGTTTATATTTTTCTTTTGTGCTATTCTTTTTCCTCCAGCAATTTTGACTTTTTAATTTTATTTATCTTTAATAATTTCTACAACTAACTATTACAGTTTTTTCTCCTATTATCTATTTTTTAACAAGAGTCAAGTGAGATAATTTATTAAGAAGCAGCATTTTTTAAAAATCAAGGTCTTTAGTACTCAAGTATTTGCACATTCTCATTCTATGTATTCTAGATAGTAAAAGTTTGATTATAAATAAAAATTAAGCTTTCATTCTAAGTATTGTTTGCTTAAAAAAGTTTGTGAAATCTTATATTTTTTTGTGTTCCAAAATATTTTTCCGCTCATAGTCTTCATTAGTTTTATTCTTAATGCAATATTATGTGCAGTCATAAAATCGAAAAAACTAGTTAGTTTTAATGAAATAAAAAATATATTTTAACCAGTTCAATAAAGTAAATAAATAAATTAGTTTTAAGTTTATTTAAGACAGGAAGAAATTAAAAACTTTCAACGATAAAAGAAGTTTTTTTAATCAAAAATAAATTTTTAAAAAATAATGAACTATTTTGTTAATAAATATTGAACTAAAAATTAAAACTATAAAATCACCTCAACTTGTATTTTATTTTCCACACAAAACTCCTTTAATTCTGATGGATTTTGAAATGGATTGAATTCCACCTGATTTACTTGTGGTGCAATGCTTGCTGTATCCAATAAAGATTCCAGATCTTCAATACCATAGTTGCTAACTCCAATACAGCGACTAAGACCTAAATAAAATAGAAGAGAATATCAGTATTACAATTAAGTAGTATTATACAGTTTTGTAATTTATCAATGTTGACACTTTGATTTTATTAAATTCAGAAGGTTTTTTGCATAAGCTAAACCCTTAAAAATTAAATAGTTTATATTTTTAAATGTTTTAAGTAATTTCTGCAGAGTATGGTGCACTGGGAACTAAATGCGATGGTAAAAAAAGTTAATCCCTAAAAGATTTGGTTTATTGTGGTCTTAGAGATACAAAGACTGAGTTAATTTTAATACATTTTTTCAATTATACTTACAAGATTTTGGTAATTTAAGACATTAAGCAAAAAAATTACATAATATAGATCTAAGAATAAGATCTTTTTTTTTTGTTGTTCATTAGTAATGTTTTTAAGAAATAATAAATATATTTTACATAATTTGGTGTTTGAAAATAATAATGGTGAAAAACATTCATTGCCATTTAAAATGGGGACCTTTTTACTATAAGGTGACAGTTAATTTTCAAATTTCTAAAAATGTCTAACCCTCATGCAATAGCAGGGTTGCCACTCAAAACTGTAAAGAATTTTCCTGTATATTAGGAGTAATACACAACCACGGTGTTAATGTGTTGTTTTCAAGATAACAATACCCCTTTAGTTCTAATCACTGGAAAAAACAAGGGACAGTAACAATTCATAATTCAACACTATTCAAAATAAAAATATTACGGTAACAGAATATTGTTTGCTCATATTAACATACCAAAAAAATTAATGCATTATCATGTCTAGAATGTCCAGTTCTGAAAATGCACAACATAGATTAAGAAAATAAAACTACTTACCACTAGACTACTAAAAAATTAAAACTCCGGTGAAACAAACTAAAGAGCAATAATCTTGTTATCATAATAAAAATTTAATTTAAAAAATTAGTTTCAAAACAAAACTAACAATTTTTTCTCAATTGATATATTTAAAAATCAATTTTAGCAACTTCTACAGCTACTTCTTTTTCAATCATTAGTTACATTTTTTCTTCTGCAACTGTTTAATTTGCAATTCCACTTTTTGTTTGCAAAACTCATTTTCCTTCTCTTTTTCCTGGATATTTTTCTTCTTTTATGAAGCATTGTGATATCTCCCACATGCAATTTTACAAATTGAAACAAATGTTTTGATATAGGAACCTTTGAAACTCTTTCATAATATTTTACAGCATCAATGAAAATTTTAAGACCAACTAAGGAATCTTCTTTGACATTTTCAACAAGCATGTCCTTACGAATACTAAACATAATTTCTGCAGCAACATTGCCATGGTGTAATATAAGAATTATTTGCACAACTTTCCACATATCTAAAAATTCTCCAGACTATAAAACAAAAAAATAAAAATCATCCAAACAAATATCATGAAATGAATTAAACTGTTTCTTGTATTTGCTCTTCAGTTTTTCTAAGTATCTTTTAAACAAATTTTGAACGTTCTGGACGTAAAGCTGAAATTTTTCCTTTTGAAAAAAGCAATTCAAGCAAATTATCCATTTTCTGCTCTCTGGTCACATAATACTGCATTGTTTTTTAACATATGGATTCAATCAGGATGGAACTTTCAAAACTGCAAAATTCTTTGACATGAGCTCAAGTATTTTTTTATATTGTAATATCTGAAATATTGTACTCTTAACAAACACAAAACACTCTGCTAAAAAGTTTCTCTTTAGGTTCAGTTGCTCCACTAGCATTTAAGAAGCTTAATGTTACTATGCTAATAACTGTATTCAGTCCTAGATTCTGTATAACAGTCCTAGATTATTAAGATCATCAAGGTCTATCAAAAATAAGCAAGTCAATGAAACAAAATTATCTACCTGTTTTGCTTTTCATGTCATGGTCTAAATTCAAGAGTAGCTTTGTAAAAATGTTTTTGGTCAGACAAGAGTTTTTTTTTTTAAACGTGCATATGAAACTGGGTATTTCTTTACATTTCTGAGATATCTGAGCACTTTACTTTTGCTTATGACAACCCTCTCAATCTTATCCTCAATTGTTGCATTAGTGGAGAAGATCACAGTTAATAATTCTTTATTTTTCTTTGATTCTTGGACTTTCTCATATATTTTTATTTATTTATTTATTTTTGGAAAAGTGCCACTTGGCATAAATCTAAAATAATAAACTAGTCTTGTTGCTCTTTTCATCTTTTTAGTGTGAAACCATTCCAGTATAGCTTGGTCGATTTCATGAAAATTATAAATTTTCTTTTTTTGTCTAACTTTTCATTATTTTGCCATTGTTCGATTATTGTATTAGCATTTTTCTTGATGTTTGATACCTGAGTTTGAAAAACATCTTCTCTTTTGCTATTCCCACTAAAAAGATGAATAGATTCAGAAAAGCTGGTTACATCCCTAAGAAGCAGGTTTTAACTGGGAATAACACCCTGGAAAAGTGAAGTATGATAACCAACTGCATTGCACCTACATCCCCAACCTAAACTCCAGTGCTGACCAAACTCTTTTGATGCTCATGGAGATTGATAACATTCCAAAGATCTTTTTTTAAAGAATGTTGTCTACCACAAAAGATTTCCCTTCAGTTGCACTTCAGCAAAACATAACCTACAAGTTACGATCATCAAAGGTAATTAGTGCTGCTGGGATAACAATCAATTTCCATATTTGTAAGTAATTGTAGATTTGATCATTAATGCGGACGCAATATCTAAGAATAATTTAAAAATTACTCTTACTTAATTTATTTGAATTTTTTTATAAATATATTTTTAAAACCATACCACTATTTATTGTATTATATGGGGAAACTGTTTGATTAAGTGTGACTCTTTAACATTACATGGCTAGGGAAATGTTCTGTTCCCGAAGGTTTTATTCTAATAAGAGGGTATTCATTTATTTGTTACTCAATTAAACGGGGCCGACATTATAGCAAGGGGAAAAAATTTCTTATACCGCTAATAAATTAGAAGGTCTGAAATTTTTAACATAGTTTTGCTTCCCAAACTATTAAAATTTTTAACTTATTATTTATTATCCATTCCAGATATATTTTGATAAGAATTAAGAAGGTCAATGTTATTGAAAACTTCCAAAGACTCTTAAAATAAATAATAAGAAAAATAAACACTCTTAGAGAAAGTGACCTTCATCATAAAGAAGTTCCAATTCCCTCCAGGTTTCTTCCAGAGTTTGTTTCTTATTAGGACAAGATGAGACACACAATGGCCAATGCATCATATATAAATCTAAAAATATGAAGATAAATTGTACACTGACATTTTAAAATATGAAGTAAATACACTAATTTCATAAACTGCAAAAATTATATAATTATCACTTTTATACATATAAAAGAGATTGAAATAAATAAAAAAAATAATTGAAACTTTTGAGCTGTAAGAGCAAATGCAAACTAACAAAATGAAATAATTTAACAGGATTAACATTCTCATAACTAAATATAATTTAAATATTGAAACTTAAATAAAAGTAAAAATATATAAAATTTAAGTATAATATATTATAAAGATAATATGAATATGGGACATTGAGATACTCTTCAACAAATGTTAATACATAAATGTTATTAAGTAAAATAAAATATGAAGCTTTACATTATTTCATTTAGTACTTTAATTAATGACGAATTTCTATAGGGAGCATTTTTTTACAAATTTAGCAATCTCATGCATCCTCAGCAATCACATTCTCAGATCCAACATATAAGTTCTTAGTATATACTGCAAATCAACAGAACTTAAAAACCTTATAAATAAGAGAGAAGAAATGTTCAAAATCTTGGAGGGCCGCAATGTCAGGCAGATACATAAAAGGGGGGGGGGAATGATTGAAAGGTTAAGAACTATTAAACTATACCATTAAACAAAACAAACAAAAATCAGTCCATACTATTTTAGTTTTAAATTACAATATAGTTCTATATCAAAAAAGAAATTATCTGCATTATTTAAAAGTTGATAATTAAATAAACGAAAAATGAAAAGTTTCACTCAATCATTAAAGTTAATTTGAATTTAAGTTACTGCCTCAGTATTTTATAACCTTCACTCATGAAAAATTTTAAAAAATAAATATAATAAATTATAAATGCTATAAATTTTGAATATAACCAAATTAGGGTGATATGATAAAGATATAAGTTTTGAAACATTTTTGTTTAAAAAGTTGATCGATAGAAGATAATATGAAATTCATTTTCATATTACTTTTTTTACATCTAAGCCATGATAAAAAATCTGAATTTTAACGAACATGACTTATGAAAGCTTTAAAAAGAATACTCAACACAACATTTATAAGAGAGAACAGTTTCAATGAAGAATTCAGTTTACCTAAATAATCAACTCCAAGTCGTTTTAGCGATCCATAAAATGCTTTTCGTGTTGTGGATGCTCCGTAATCAGTACACCATAATTTTGTTGTTAGAAATATATCTTCACGTGGAACACCACTCAACTGAAACAAATTTCATCACTTTATTAAGCAGACTAAATTAAGCTAAATTAGAAAAGGTTATGGAACAGTAATATGTCAATTCTATTCAAGGATTAAAGATATTGTGGCCTTTTCCAGTAGATGTTGGAACAGTCACTAACTATGGTGAACTAACTCAACAAGTACAATGATACCGTGTGGTAGAGGAATATCTCAAACCAGGGTTGGCAAGGTTTAGGACAGAATGGATTAATCTACTGTTTAAACCGTCCTGTCCAAAACTGTCTTAAACTGTCCAAAACCCTTTTACTCAAATTATGTCACAATTTTATCTGAACAATATTTAAAAGATAGAATAAACATAGAACTAATAACATATTGATAATTAAATCTACTAGAGAATATTGTTTTTAGAAGTATAATGTTTTATTAATATTGTTTGATTCTTCAATTTAAACATTAAACAAAGGAAGATTAATCAGTAATCAAGTTCAATTGGTCCTCTTAACATTCAACAGCACATTATAAGAGCACAATACATACAATATTCGATAGCACACTAATTTAGCTGCTGTATTCACACCAAGACGGTTTTTAAGTTCTGAGTGAATTACTACAAAATTTGAAAACATCCTTTCAATTGAGGCTGAGCTTGCTGGACATGAGAGTAGAAGAATGATGAATTTAAAAATGTCTTTGGAATATTCCCCTAATGATATTGATTTTTCAATAGTCGTAATGATATTGATTTTTCAAAAATGGTGTTGCTTCAGCTTCATAGGCAATCAAAAGAGAAATGCATTCCGGAAATTTGTCAGTTAAATATGACCGAGCACTTTCTTTTTGCACACCAGACAAGCCTTCTCCTTTATATTTAGGGTTTAATAAATAAGCCAAGTAATAAAATACTTGCACTGCTTGAGTAATTTTTAATACTTGCAATTCTTTTAGCATAGCGGTGATACATCACCAGTGTCAGTAACTGTAACTGATGTTATGCCCTTCAAAACTGTTAATACATTTACAGTTATTTTTGTATTTCCAATTTAAACTAATATACTTATATTAAAAAAAATAAAAAATTTTAAATAAATGTCGTTTTAATTTAATGCAGAAATTATAATGTTTTTTTTTTAAAAAATATTGTTAAAAATAAAAGGTAAATTTTTAAACATATTTAGTATTTTTTTAAAAAATTTACTATTATTTTTAATATTGCATTATTCATCCTTATGCAAAAACATAATTTATCAGTATTAAAAGCATATTTATAATTAAAGGATAAGGTATTCCCTTTTGTTGTTTAATGAATTGTGGAGCTCCAAAAATTATAAACCTCTTCCTATTATACTACATTATTTTCCTTTTTTAAGTTAATGTAAATTGTATAAAAAATATCAAATATTTATTGATACATGTAATTATTTTGTGTACAATGGTAACACATATGGAATTTTTACCTTTTACCAAAGTTCAAAGTTTTGGACACTTTAAGACAGTTTAGGACAGTTTTAGTCAGTTTTTAAGACAGTAAAACCCATGTGTCTTGTCCAAAACCAGTTTAGGACATCCAAAACCCCAACCCTGTCTCAAACCATGATCTTCATTGCTTATCTTTGAACAATTATTTAATTAACTACGAAACTTTTCAAACTCTCCCAAGAAAGATGCAATTTTCTAAGAATAATACTAAACATATTTCTTGCCAGCATGAAAGGAAAAGGTTTTCAAGAACTTTCATAAGTAAAAAAAAAATCCAGTCATACTGCTATACTCCTTGTAATTAAAGTAGGTGCCTTAAGGTTGCTTGTTGCCCGAGCAACAAGACTTTAGGAAGGAATGCCACTCTTTTCACAGGGCAGTTAAGAGTATTGTAAGAACATATTTAATTGAAGACAAAGTTCAGTAAAGCAAAATCTATTTATTATAAATTATTTTTATTAAACAAATGCCAACCGTTGACTATTACATCATTAGGCCTTTTATTATAAATTAAAATCAAAAAAAAAAACATTGCGAGTTTGTGATCAAAAACATAACATAACAGAACTCAACGAAAGAACCAACAAGAAATCCAGTTTTGTGTTGCCAAAATTTATCACATCCTAGTGACAAGATGTCACAATGTTTGCGTACTTGCCGTTATCTGGCAATGTCAACATTCATCCCTCATGATGTGATATCTGTCTTAAAAATATTTATTACTATGCTTTTGAAGTTTATTACAGACTTAAGCTTTTGCTAACACACCTGCTAAATTCAATTTACTTGAGACATAACTCACACCGTATCTATGGTAATCGAGGCGTATCTATGGAAAGAAGCGCCTATGGCAAATCTCGCACTTGCGCCCTTCCTAAAATATTTATAACCTCTTAAATAAAAGCATTGTTTGATGTATTTAAGCCTTTTGGCAATATTGCAAAAAGAGCCGTGGTGGCTCAGGGAATAGAGCATTCGCCTTCCAACGAGGTGAGCCGGGTTCGATTCCCTGCAATGATTGCTCGACACAATTTCCGTATCCGGCTTGCACCTACCACAATGCTGACGTAAAATATCCTCCTTGACGGATCATTGGTTACCCTTGCCGACAGACTAAGCGCGGGAAGCTTTCGTGATCCTCCTCTCCATGTAACGCAAATGCGGGTTAGTTCAATCAAAAAATTCCTCCGCGAAGGCAAATTTCTCCAAAATGCTCGATACAGGAGTTCCCTTGTCTTCTGAATTGGGTTCAAAATTACAAGGCTGCGAAGTTGAACATTAGGAGTTGCAAATTCAAACAATTCGATCGGCTGTTCAACAACAGTTATAAAATTTTCCAAAAAGATTGCATTGCATTTTTTTAATAGATTAATAAATAAATAAAAATTAACTATAACAATAAAATTATCTCCTTTTAATTGTAATGCATTCACGTGTGTTCGAAATTAGCATTAGTTAGGAATAAAAAAAGTCTCCTTTATCATATTTAAAGAAGATTCTCTTGCGTTTCTTCAACTATCAATAAAAATTCTAACAATTTGTTTAATTAAGCAACAAATATAATTAGGTAACAAAAATACTCACACGCAACAAATGTCTCAGGGTTAAAGATGAACTGTAACATAATTACCTATTATTACCCATTATTTCCAAAATTTAATTTGAATGAAATTGATTGTTTCTAAACATCCTAATCATTGCTTGGCTAATACCAAAACAATAAAATCATCGTGATATAATAAATTCATTAAAGATCACAGTGTAAATAATTTCGATTTGCTATGACAATTACAAATAAAATAGCTACAATCAAATTTTATAATTTGGTTTGTTTTTTACTTACAAAAAAACCGATGCTCTTAATATAATTAAGTTGTACAAACATTATATAATAACCGATAATAAGAAAAAATATAAATATAATTAAATACAGAACTCTAGACAAAATAGCGACAATAATACATTCTTTAATGAGAAATAAATTAGAGGAAGTTGTCGTCTTAGTTTAAGAATATCTAGAAAAAATTGGAGAAAAAAAAAAGGCAAAAAGTTAAGAAATAGACCAAAAAAAATCAAATTATGAAAAATTCTCTTCGCATTCTGATGCGAAGAGAATTTTTCATAATTTGGAACAAATTAGAGAAAACGCAGAAAAAAAATTAAACAGATTTGAATTATAAGTTTTTAGACGTTCAGTGCGCAAAAAAATAAAATAAATAAACGGACCACCCTGATAACTTTTGATATAATAATCAGATCTTCACGTTCTTCTCATGTCAATGGTTCAAGGAGGTGACTTAAAATATGCTAATTAATAAATGCGGGGACAATATTTCAAGTTACGAAATCAGACACTAAAACGTACTTTTTCTGAATTTTCATTTTTTCTACTGATTTGGATTTCTGTACCCCTAAGTATTGGGGGTAGCCGCAATATGAGAAGTAACTCGAGAGTTTTCCAATAGAATTTTAAAAAATTTCCAAGAATTATAAAGGTCGTTTGTTAAAAAATAACTTTTCGTGAATATTTATTATTTTATTTATAATTGTAAAAAAATTAAATTGTAAGGTATACATTTTTAACATCGTTTTAAAAAAAGGTAATTTAACAAGGAAAAGTACTATATTGTAGAAAAGGTAATTTTACAAGGAAAAATACTGTATTGTTTTAAAAACAGTATAACAATTTTTTTCAAGTAATATAATATGTAGTGATATAAATATAATGTAAGTGATATGTATTGTAAAAGACTTATAAAATTTAAAAAAAAGTAATTATTTAATCTCTTTTTTTTTTAAAGGTAGAAAATTATAATCTGAAATAAAATAAAAGATATAGGGGAAAGTATAATGCATTAGTTTAAATAATTAGGAAATGATTACTTACAGTCAAAGAAAATCCTTGTAGTACACGTTGTTCACTTAAATCAATGAATCAACTATAAAAGCCCAGAAGCTGCATCAAAATAGATTATAAAAATCTAAAGACTTCAAATATTTGATTTTCTTGTCTTAAATTTTGAAACATTAACTAAAACAAGCAGAATTTTTTGTATGAGCGCCTAACTACTTATAACGCCTCTCGCCTGTCCTTTATTTTTCAAAATAGTGGGGTGTATTCATTATTAAATCGTTTCATCGGTTTAAATTATTTGTTGAGCGAGGCAGAGGAACCTCCTATTTTCAGTATTTCACACTTTAGTGGAGGTGATTCCCACCATGGGTGGCAAAAATCTCCTGTTGTGGAAGGATTTACGCTAATTTATAGAAGGGGTTCTATTTGAAATCTATTCAGCAGATTCCAAAAACGCTTTTTAAAGAGATTTTAACCCCTGATAAAATTGAAGATTTACAAGCATTTCACTACAGAATAATTAGTCTAAGCTAGACTGGGACACCCCATGGTTTTCACATCTCTCAAGTCATCCCTCTGGTCAACACCATCTGGCCATCTGGTTTTTCTGCCTGAAGGGGTTCCATCCATTTCCTCCCCTGAAAATTGTTCTTTTAACTGGAGGTCTCACTTTCCTCAAGATAAGGGGAGAAAAATTTCTTTACATTTCTCACCAACTTTAGAACTTCCAAAGTTTCTTTCGTTCGCCTTTCATTTTTTTAGTCTGTTGTACTACTAATTTTTTTCATATAGATAAATACTTTAAATTTGAAGATTCAGCTTATATTACTATAATTTAATTTTACAGATAGCATTTTCAAATACATAAATAATATCAAATAACCTAAGTAGAAAAGCATTTTTTCCAAGTAAATTATTTTAAATTTAAATGAATGTCTAAGTAAACTAGTTTAAATAAACGAAATCAATAAATATTATTTTTAGGATTTGTTTTCTGTTCTTATTATAAAAAAGGACACGATTTTAAATAAATACGGTATGTATTGCCGAGGAAAAAGGTAGTGACTTATATCAATATATTTGCTACTCAAGAGCTATAACATCATACATAGTACTACAATACACATTCAAAACAATTCTACGAAATACATTTTTAATGCTAGTACATAATCTATACTTTTGTAATCTAAATTATGTTATTTAGTTAATTATTTTATTTTTATATATAACCATGATTTTTTGTGGCTATTTTAGTGGGTTTTTTTCATTTGTGCAATATTATAGTTTGACTCAGAGTTACAGTTTCAATAAAGTCTTATAAATAATGTCTTGTTTGTTTATAAGATTCAGAACTTAAATATTTATAACTCTTACACATGAATAAGCCTTTTGAATGAACATTATTAAACTGTTTATTTTATCATCGTTTATACATGGAAAAAATATTTTTCTTTTCGTTTTACTCAATAAATTTTACATTAAGTTTGTGGTTTATTCTTCGCTTTTAGTGGAAAAAATGAAATTCATAATACGCTAAAAGAAGAAAAAAATTAAATTCCCTGTAATTTTACTATAATGAATAATGAGCTTACATTTTGTCTTTTCATTTTATCAGCGATAGCTTAAATTTTTTATAGTACAGCTATGACATATTGTGAAGCAATGAGACGCTACATTTTAGAGGGGAAAAAATTTAATTCCTTTTAATTTAAATATGGGAGCCGCGATGGCTCAGGGGATAGAGTGTTCGCCTTCCAATGAGGGAAACCGGGTTCGAATCCCAGTTGATACGAATTCCGCATCCGGCTTGCACCAACCACATTGCTGATGTGAAATATCATCAAATGTAGACGGATCATGGGTTAGAGTCCCCTTGCCGTTAGGCTAACCGCGGGAGGTTCTCGTGGTCTTCCTCTCCATGTAACGCAAATGCGTGTTAGCTCCACCAAAAAGCCCTCCACGAATGCAAATTTCTCCCATTACTCGATACAGGAGCTCCCTTGTCTTCTGGATTGGGTTCAAAATCACAAGGCTGCGGAATTGGGTTGGCTGTTCAACGACGGTTATAAAATTAACTATGGGGTTACAGGGGTCTGTTTAGAAGAAATTTGGGTCCGTTAATGGACCCTTCACAAAATATCTTTTCATAATAGCGGACCCTTCACAAAATATTTTAACTTAAAAACGGACCCTTCACAAAATGATTTTTCTTTTAATCGGACCCTTCACAAATTTGTTTATCTTCATTATTATTTAATTAATAGAATAAACCCTTTCCAGGGCAGAAAACAAGAAAGATGGACGTAAACGAATTAAGTTTTGTCTTCGGCAGACGATTCTTCCATTATTTGTCCGAAATTAATATTCTGCGTTCAGCAGTATAGGCTAAATATCAAATATTTGTATGTTGCATCTCTAATTTAGAAGCAGCAATTGTTGTTTATTTTTTAAAATTTAATTTTTTTAATTATAATTTTACAGTGTTGAGCATAATCTTGTATGTCTTTATAATTTAAAAACTCCTTGAAAAACCTTTTTTTGCAATAACGGATCCTATTTGCACAAATTCATAAAAGCGGACCCTGGTTGTAAAAATGTGAGTAATTTTTTCACAATTTCACGAAAAATAGATCTTTCACAAAATGTCTGGACAGACCCCTGGGTTAAAAGTCTTTTTGTCAAAGGATTTTGATGGACATTAAATGTTAATTGCTTGGGAAATTCTCTGACATTAAAAATATTTTTATTGGAGTGTATCAAAAAGTTAGTAAAGAGAGTAAGAGTTATAATTATTAAAAACTCTGCATTATTCTTTAAATTACGATATTATAATTAAAATTTGGCTTTTGCCGAAATCGTCGTAAATATAATAGTAGAAAAGAAAAAGCTACTTTTTATTACTGATTTATTTTAGTATTTATCATGAATGTATTCATGAACATTAAAATTTTTTACTTATTGCGAATCCTCTGTTGCTTAACTTGAAAGTATAATGAAAGAAAAAGTGTCTAGTGAATGAATGCAGAAACGTGTATGAATTGTTATCACACAGACGTCAAGTCGTTCAAAAAGAGTTGGTATGTGGAATGTTTTTTTTTCTTATTATTTCCCACATTTTTTTTAATGTTGAATATAATATAACAACCGAAGGAGATTTCTCGCGCTTTTCGAGTTATGCAAAAGAGCTGGAAACCTTGGCCCTCCTATTATCCCTAACTGAGGTGGTCTATGAGTTTTCAAACGAAGTTATGCAAAAAATTAAAACAGGGGGAGACTAAAATTGTTTAACGCTCTTCACCTACTTTGTATTTATTATTAGCGGTTCCCTGTCATACTTCACTCCCCCAGTTACAAAAAAGAGTTCCTCAAAAGACCTCGATGTCTTCTTTTCGAGACCACGAGGAAAGGTTAAATGTTGTATGCTTTTTTTTTTAATTCTGCCATAACTTGAAAAAAAAAATTAGTGAAATTTTTAATAAAAAAATAATCGTCGATGCTAATTGATTTTGCACCTTTCAGAAATAATGCGCCCATGGCATTGGCCATACTTGCCATACCCTAGATACGCCACTGCTCACACCAAATACATTATTCTTTAAACATTCACGAACATAATGGAACTTTACATCTATGTGTTAAGATATAAGATTATTAACAGAGTTTTTCCAACGTAAGTGAATATCAAGTAAAACCAAAAACAGTCAGTGCCCTGAGGCTCCACAAAGGAAAAAAATAAGACAATAAAGTCATAAAATAAGACATTATTGTCTTCTTTTTATTATCAGTTTTTGATTTCACCACTGACAACAGAAAGACTCCAGCATGTTGGCTAGGTGGTGTGTCCCCTGATGAAGTGCCATTTTTGCTAACATGTGTATCTTTAGATTTCGTTTTGCTTGTATTTAAATTCTCCCATTTTTATTTATATTGCTTAATTAAGACAATTTTGGCTTTAGCTGCTTTTTTAGCATTCTTCCATTTTAGCTTATTGTTTTTAAATTAAATTTTGTTCTTAATTTTTGTTTAATTCTATTTTCATACTTTGATTGGACTCCTCTTATTGTAATAATTTTATCTAGCATCATACCAAAGATATTTTTTAACAGAAAATATGCTTTATATTTTAAGCATAAGCTTAATTTCTTTGTAAATTAATTAAAAAAAATTTCAATCAAATATATGATTTAAAATCTTTATCTCATTAAAAAAAATTTTAATGGTCTATTTTCTTTTACCTTCATTGAAAGAGATTACTAATCCTTTTAATCATGCCCATTCAATTATTAACATAAACCAAAAGTGGTTTTCACTCATTATTTTTATAGGAGAAAACTACTGGACGGTGTAATTTTTTTGTGAATAAGAACGAAGTAGAGTCTCTGCATTATTCTTACCCAAGAGTTTCTGATTTATAAATAATCTTTGCAGTTAACATCTGATGCTATTTGAGAACAATAAAGATAATGGAAGGTAATTAACGGTTCTGTTTTAAATTCTCCTCCCTCTGGAAAAATATCCACCAAAAGAAGTGTCTGTAGATAAATGTAGAAAAGAAAGTCACGCCTAGATATAAACAAGTTGCAAAAAAAAAATTTTAAAAACTTTGCCAATCACTTTAATAAAAGAATTAGATTTCTAAGAATGCAGAAAATACTGAATTCTATATCTCAATTCCATTTCTTTAAGTTCATGTTGCTTACTAAATAGATAGAAAAAAATAATAATACTCTCTAACTTTGCCGCTATAACTCATATTCCTGAATTTTAGATAATCTGAGTTAATGAGATAGTTACATTATCAATTGAAATAATTTTAATATTATAAAAATGAATGAATGCAGGCATTAAATCAAATATTGAAGGAATTAAAAAGTAATGGAATATGTTTATTCTCAAAGAAATAAACTTGCATAACCATGTTTTTAAGACTTCCATATATGGTCATAAAGATAAAATAATAAAACTATTTAAATATGACAGCTACGTAAACATTATTGTAGAATTTAGTTTAAAAAATATTGCATGATCTCGTTTTACGGGGAAATAAAGTTTAAAAAAAATGGAGAGATTTGATTTTTCTCTTATCGATTTTATTTTTTCCTCCGTGTTAACAAGCAGAAAACAAGTGAACTTATTCAAGTTATTCAAGTGAACTTACGTGAATTGCAGCTTGCAAAAACTCTTCACAACCATAGCGTTTTGCAGTGTCTATCAATCTATAATTGCAGACTTTCAGTGCATATACAACTGCTTCTTGTGAATAACCTCCACTATGAGAAGTACCTACCAAATGAAGGTAAAAAACAAGCTATGTAAAATGAAATCATTATAACTAAATTAGGTAATTAATCAAATCAACCTGAATGATATCAAGCTAAACAAATCTAATACACAATCAATGAAATTCTTAAATTATACACTATTATATACAATTAAGTAGAGTAAATCCAATCAGACAATTCAAAGAAGATGACTTTAAAGAAAGACCAATTTTTCATCTTGTGGTTTAGAAAACCACAAATTTGTTAGTCACAAAAAATTCAAAATTAATAAAAGATTTGGCAACAGATGGTGATAAGGTTTAAAATTTATTTGTAATTTTATGCAATTTCTGAGAAATTCATACAAGGGTCTCAACCTTTATATAGATATCCAAATTACATAATTTGTTCAGGGATGAGAGTAGTCAGAAAGTAAAAAAGAGGAAATCCAAGAAGATACATATATATATATATATATATATATAAACAAAATTTTGACAAAAAAAGTGCGATTTTTAAACTTGTAAGCCATGTGATTATAAATCATGATATGAGGCTTTTAAAATATGAAAATATGAAACTCTACATCGAATTTAAAAAATGCGAAAATACAAATCATGATGCGTAACTTTTAGATCACGATACATAATTTTTAAATCGCGTGATATTACAACCGCAAAAACGAATCACGACATTGGATTTTAAGCTCGCGTAAATACGAATTGCTACATGCCGTTTCAAAAGCTCGTAAATAAAAATCGCGATGTTGGTTTTTTAAATCTCGTAAATAAGAATCGCAATGTACAATATTTAAATCGCCTGTATAAGAATCGCAACACTCACCTGTTAAATCAGGCAAATACGAAAATCGATGTTTGATAATAAAATCGCAATTTTAAAAATACATAAATACAAAACACGATATTGGGTTTTTAAATCTCGTAAATAAGAATCATAATGTACGGTATTTAAATGGCGTAAATAAGAATCGCAATGCGCAACTTTTAAATCAGGTAAATGCGAAAATCGATGATTGATATTAAAATTGCGTGAATAAAAATCGAGATATTTGCTGAGTTTGGACTTGGGATTTCTAAAAGGCTTGTTTGTATTGTTTTTGTTTAGACATAATAAATAAAAATTTTCACCGCAAATAAATATTTTCACCGCAAATCCACCTCTATTTTTTTGTCTGTTTTCACGCCAGAATACAAGAAGCAGCGACATCTGAATTACGAAAATACGAGCTATCCCGCCGACGGATTAAAAAATGAGGACATTTTATTTTCTGTGCGTGAAATCGGAGAAAATAGCTAATTTAAGTAAAAATGCGGAAGGGTTAGCAGCTAGGACGTAGTTGAAATTTTCTGTTTATCTTTGAAAATCGTAAATAAATATAATTATTTTACTTCAAGGACTGAATTTTTTTTAAAAAAAAAAGCTGGATATTTATTAAAAAAATAAATAAATAAATAAACTTTTAGAGAATCGGAGTTTTTGATGAAAAGGCTGAAATTCGAGAGACAAAAAAAATCTCATCCCTGTATAAAGGCCAACCAGTTTTATCCCAAGGAAATGATTTTTAGAGAAACTTCAGAGGGAGGAATGAGGACTTCAATAATTTCGCTCCGTAGAAAATTAAATTCCTCAAATCTGAGGAATGGTTGAGGACTAGAATCGATTCTAGAATTAGGCTAAATATGTGGCATCATAAACTGGTAAAGAGCACCTTAAAATTTGTCATGGCTGAAGTTATCCCACCAGTGATGTGCAATTTTAGTACTACCTTGCGACCCTGCTGATGTCAGAAAAGGTTAAAAATATAGGACATTCATTTGATGACCATTAGAAGAAAAAGCTATAAAAAGACCACCTAATGCTTGGTCATGATAGTATGTAGCCTAAAGTAAATCAGAAATATATTGGCTTTGTTACAGAGTCATTTTTAAATTGTGATGATATATTTGTACTTTCAGGTGACGACTCTGTTATAGCAAATGGTTAAATACCTAAAAAAATAAAATACACCAGTTTTTTAAAACATCTCTTTCAGAGATGCACAACCTATAGCCTCCGACCAAAACAGGTTCTGGAAGTCGTTTAACTTGGTCCCTGATTTATCTTAATTATTAATTAAATTTATTAATTTGTAAGATCATATTTATGCATAATTTTTTAATGAATAGTTTATTGATGCCATGTACAAAAATGTCACTGTTTTGCAGCAGTATAGTAATCGCATTATAGTATTAGAATTAAAATAAATATACAAATTAATTACTGTGTACCTTGCCGTTATATGTTACGAAAATCAATCACTACAGAAGTTTAACTAAATTAAGAAGAAATAAAGTAAGTTTTAAGTATAGTCATAGTGTATATTGTATTTTCCATGTTTATATGCATTGTTGTACATAATATGTATTTGACAAGCCATTCTCAAAGGACTTAAAACTATCACCTCTATCTAGTGACCATTTTAGCTGGTCTGGACAGTTTTCACTTGTTCAGATATTTTTAATTTTATTATCTGAACAAATAAAAACTGTAATAATGCATGACATTAATTTCAAATATCCAGTCTTTTAACAATTAAAGTTTTATGTTAATGTTGGTTTGGAACATCCTATTTTCTGACCTTTTTGGCCCACTAGCCAAAAGAAAAAATATTTCATTCCTGGTCAATTTGTTTAAATTTGAAAAAACTCTGAAATTTTAAATACTAAGTTAAAGGATTTCTGATTATCCTTTATAAATAAAACTAACCTAATCCAAGCGTAGGTATTTTAACACCATTAGATAGTTCTACCTCTCTTGGGCCAAAGTCTCCTTTGGATGTTGTGACTGGCATCTTAACAACACTAAATGTCTATGTATTCCTGAAATATTACAAACATTTTAAAAGGCAACTCATAATTCATAAAACTATCAATATATTTAATAAAAATACAAGATAAAAAAAAATTAGCATCAGCAATTTATTCAAATTAAAACAATTTCATTTCATATTTAGTTTATAAGAGCAGATAGGAAATGAAATGAAACAACAGATCTTCAGTAAAACTTCTGTAAAATAATCATGTGAAAATGATTTGAAATGCATTATTTTAATTAAATAAACTATAATAGTATTTCATTGATGTTTTAAATCAAAGTTTAATATTAACTTTTTATTAATCACTGGCATAACACTGATATCTTATAGGTAGAAGACTTTACTTTATTCATGACTTCTGAGAAAAATATATACAGTACAGAACCCGTTATCCGGAAATCAGAAAACCGGAAAACCAAAAAACCGGAACGAAATTCGAGAAATTTTCCCGCCATTTTTTTTAAAAGATATTTTTTTTCCTCATAAGATTTTAGGATTTTTCTTTCTTTTTTGAAGGATGTTTACCTTACCATCACTTTGGAAATAATCATTAGTGTATTACTTCATCGTTTTTTTCTCTTTTTAAGATTATTTCCATAATTTTTTTTTTTTTAGTTGGGTTTAACAATAAAAAAAACTGCTTTTTGTAGTGATTCAGAAAACCGGAAAAATCAGTTATCCGGAATAGCGATGGTCCCGATCGTTCCGGATAATCGGTTCCCTACTGTATTTAACACTTTAAATATAGCGCAATATTCAATTTTGAAATTATTCTAGACTTTGATCACATTCAACAATAATTTAGCAAAATAAATATGAATTATGAGTTAATTCATAGAACAGGTTATAGGAGATACATAGCTTCAAAATCAGATTGAGCTATTTATTTTTCATAGTGTATCAACAGATAATATGTCTTCATTGCATTTGTAACAGAAGAATTATCTCCATTACTTTTAAAAATTCAAATACATAATGTAATAGATTACATTGGATAAAATTATTGAAACCGAATTAATATTTTAAATAATATTTCTAGCACTTATTGCCTAAAGAACCTTTTTTCATAACTTTTATACAAATGTCGTTTTGTAATATTTGGTTGGAATAACTTAGAAAAAAACCTTTTTCAAAATTCCGTACTTCGAGAGTATAGCTTGTCTACAGTAAGAACTCCCCTAGCACCTGGACCCGTGGAGGTGACTATGGTAACGAGGTATAACTATTTCAAGTAGGGGTGTGGAGTTGGCGAAACAAAGGGAATCTTTTTCTTCAGTCTTATTATTTTAGCCCTAGAGGGAAGAGAAGATACCCTCCCTGAAAGGTGCTATTCTGGTTTTGTTAGCAGTAGATGGCCTCAAACTTTGTAGAGGGGGGAATTCCTACTGTAGACAAACTATAATTTGCACTCCACAACCAGCAAATTACAGTGGAAAATATAAAAATAAAAATGGCAATATCCAAATAATATTAAAAAACACATATGTAAGGAAACATGCGATTCATTAGGCAAAACTCATATTTTAGGATTCTTTTTTTTGAAATATAAATTATAAAAATATATTTTATTTACGTCTGTTGACTTTAGTTTTCACAATAAAAAATTAAAAGAAAGGCAAAATATTAAATTTAAGAAATGTGGGAGAATTTTTTCAAGCTATCTGCGGCAAAACTTTCTAGCACTAATATTTTTCTGCAAGATACTTTTAATAATAACAAACATAAATGTTACTAATTTAAAATAACAAAACACTGTTTTTATAACAAAAAAAAACTATAATATTTTTTTTTTCATTGAACATGTAATAATTTTTTATTCTTATATTATGGGTGATATTCACGCATTTTGTTGGGGGGGAAAACTCACTATTTATTCAGAGCTCATTCTAGGCAGAAAAAAGGGAAGGGTGCAAAAGTTTAAAAAAAAGGGCATTATTATTCTAAAAAGGCAATAATTTCTTTCTATGGGCTTTACACATTCTATTAAAAAACATTGTCAATATTTTTCTCTACTTTACTAAAAGTACCAAAGCAATCATATTAATTACTAATTTTTATTAATAAATTAACATATATATATTGAGTAAATGAGCTAATTAGCTTAGTAATTTATTTAAAATGCATGCATATATTAATAAAATAATAAATGTATGTTTTTAAGTGTGTATAGATAGTTATGATTTAATAATTAAAATGATTAATAATAATTATGATTTAATGATAGTGAAGTAACTGCAAACTTTCAAAGACAAGTGCAACAAGGGGATGTGATGGCTATTCTTCCTTTCCCATATAAATCTATGTATTGACAGCAATGACAAACTAAATAAAAAGAGTTGAAAATAAAGGGTTGAGGAAAGAAAGGGCAAAAAGGGTATGGAGTCTATTTCACCAGGGCACTAATTTACTTCAGGGGCAACAGAGTGGACTTTTGACTAAAAGGGCAGCAGGGTGCTGCCCCCTGTTTACCCTGCCTAGAATGAGCTCTGATTTATTTCCTTCTTTGCATTTCGTAAACAATCATCACTATAAAAAATACAAGTCGTGAACTCCGTTGCCGGAAAAAAAATCAACAACGAAATCACGCGAATTGGACTCCTCAAAAAGGGATTACTCTAGTGCTTGTTTCGCTTTGAGATTAGGTTGTTGTAATAAATAATATTGTATAAAAATATTTGATTTAAAAACTATGGAGAAATCAAAAGCCATAACTACCAAAAATTCAATAGAATCATTGCCTTAAAAAGTAAATACTCAAATGCACGATTCAAATTTTCCATAGTGTTTGAAATATATCGAGATATTTAAAAACCATGTGAAAACTAATATCAGTAATTGCCAAAAATTACATCGATACGATATTATCGGCAAAAATTAAACGCCTCAAAAAGTTATTATCTAAATGCATGATTCAAATATTACAAGTAAATTTCTATAGAAAATAAAAATAAAACTCTTCAAAAGAACATTCTATCTGCAAGAACTCTGTAGCGTACTTTGATAATGTCGCCGTGATTCTGCCGCAGGGAATTCAAGTAACCTTTAATCTCATTTTTTCGTCTAGTCGATTTTGTTTCATGATTAAGATGTGAAGAAATGCATTATAAAAATATCCTACACATGTAAAAAATGCTTAAAATTAAAATTTATCATTATTTTTCATGAAATAACTATAATAGTACTATACTATATATATAACTATAAAACTTTATAACTTGAATTTTTTTAAAAAAGTATATAATTCTTTATCACGAGTATGTGCAAGTTTTCTTTTAAGCACATATTTTGAACTGAAAATTGCATTACCTGCTATTATTTGAACCTTGGTTCTCAGAAGTTATTATCAGGAGTATAAATTTGTAATTAAAATTTAAAATGCCAAGTTTCTAACATCACAATTGTTTGTAAAACACAACTGTGAGCCCTTCCAGCCTCACTCATAAAATTTTATTTTTGTACTGGTGATCAAAGCAATCTAAAAGTTAGGGCATTCGCTAGTAGCCTTGCATTCCTAGAACTTCACGTATCTTAGTACCAATAATGTTTTTAAAAAAATTTCATATTTTTTTAAAAAATTACTTTCAGCATTTAAAATTCAAAAACCTTGCTTTCTATTCTATCATTAAAATTAAATTAAAAAAGTTGCCTTCATAATTTTTGAAGCAAACAAAATATTTTTTACGATAAAAATTGCAGGATTAGAGAATAAGATGTATTATATTTTAGATGAATATTTCAATGAGGTTATAAAACTCAAAATTCCTCCTTCCTAAAGGTAATATTACATGCATATAGTGTTCTTCTTAAGCATTTATAGGAAAGCAAACGCCCTGTCTACCTTTTGATCCTATAAATGTGTTCTCTCATTTTGTTCTAAAAATAAGCCACCATCCCTTAAAAACACTGCCTTTTTATTAGATTTTCTCAAGAAAAAGTTGTTTTCGTAACCACCTGTTTCGTTAAAAAGTTCAAAAAGAAAAAAAAAACCTCTGTAAACGCAACCCCATGAAACCTGATATGTGGTTTCCACAATTGATTTACCATTAATCTTGTCTAAGATAAGTAACCCTTTCTCCCTGCTTTCAAAATTTAAATTCTTTTCAAGTAACAGATTTTATTCTTTTATATTACTGAAGATAAAATGATTGGGAGATTTGTGATTCCCATTGTGCTTATAATTACCTAAAAAAAATTGTATATTTTTAATTAAAAAATTTAGAAATGAGAATTTTTTAAACTTAGAGAATTGTTGAGTTGTTGTCCCCGTAAATTGTTGAGTTTTTGGTACACATGGAAAATTTGTTAAAAACTATAAATACAATTCTTCTATATTTTCAAGATTAATTACAATCTTTCAACAAAAGTATGATTTTTTTCTGTAAAAATCATATCTATTGAAAACTATCTTCAGATTTAACCATTTCTGATAGAGATAATGTATACACTTAATATAAGGGGAATGGTGTATTTAGGAAAAATATTTGCTTCTTTATAAAAGTGCTGATGGAAATAATAAAAACACTTTTTAATTCCACTATGTAATTTCTTGAATACACGCATTAATCAGCGTCCATATACTTAAAAATAAGTTTTTTTAAAATTGATCCACTTACAATTAAGATAACTATTTTATTATGCTTTAATATATTAAGTTTTTATGAAATTGATGAATGAAGAATTTAGAGGTAATACAGATAAAGAATAAATTTGATAATATAATGATTCTTTATATATAATTCTTTATGGATTTCTAATAAAATTATTCGATAATATAATTATTATTATGCAATGAATATTTATAGATATTAAAATAAAAATTTAATCTCTTTTATGGGAAGTATTGTGAATACCAGTTTCAAAAAGGAAAAATGTGGACATCACTCTTAAACACTGTGTTTCATGCGAACTATTACAAAATATTTAACTTTTTTCTGACAAATATATTAAAAGAAAAAATAAATAAATAAACAACTTATATAGGCATTCATATAACACAGGGTAAATATTTTTTACTATTCCCTCCAAACTAAAAAGTAATCACAGTTTCAAAAACCACTTTTAATATCAAATTTTAAATACATATTGTCTATATGTTCTTACCAAAAATATGAGAGTTGAATGGCAAAAAATACAAAACGAAAAATAAGTTATAAGCGAAAACAAACAGAGTATAACAACCCGAGTAATAAATGCGGCTTTATAAGTTCAAGAATAAATATTAAAGATAATAACTGAACACATGTTCATCACATTGCCATAATCTATTGGAGAAAAACAAAATTGTAGAAAAAGAGTAGAAAGATAACACATGTTTATAGTAAACAAATTTTATTACGAACCGCAGGCTGTTTGAATCCTTCGCCTCGAACAAACTGATAGAAAACGAAGTGTAAACTCTATCTGCATCAGACCAGTTTCTATAATTCGCACTCTATCAACCCTTTCAGTCGGAAAACAAACTATAATTAACTTTGGCAAGGTTTCTTATCGACAATTAGACCAACAGACGACAACCGAAGGTGAAGGGGTTATATTGATCATTATAAGCTAGAGATAAATTCAGCTTGTAGCTTATGTTGTGTTTTTAAAAGAAACATAATCATATGACGTAGCAAATGCTCGTGACATCATAATTTGTTTAACCGCATGCGAATTGACAAAACATACCGTAGATTGCAAAGGGTTGGCGAAAATTTCTATTGGCGTGAAAAGGAGAGTTCTCGCAAATCGCCAAACAGTTGTGTGCTTATGTTTTAGTTTTGTTTTCGGTATCGCATAACATTCAACAAGTTAAATATGGGTGCGACATTTCAATTAAGCGGGTCTTCATTTGATTCTTCTGCATCAAATAAAATATAAAACGTATTTTTTTGTTATAGCGCCGACAAATTGGTTTGTATCCGTTGACTAAATTGTGTTTATTAGCGTTTTTTAAAATGTCGTAATAGAACTAAGATAGAAAGATTACACATTATTACATATTCTATAGTTTCATAAACTTTCATTAAATGTATTTCGAGTAGTGAAATTCTTTTCCTACTCATCCACTAATTAGAATTAATAATTTCACAATAACCTTTAATCCTTAATAATGAAATGATTATTATAATAAAGTTTGCTTACTTAAACGATTAAAAATTTTATTTTTTATTGTTTAGCAGAGACTTAGTTTCCAATTCTATATTCATTAATTAAACTTAATGGTTCTCCTCGATAACCATTTACAATTTTTTTAAAATTTTATTTAATTTTCTGTTATTATGAAATTCTTTAAATATTTTTCGACGTAGAGATTATTTTGCAATAATGCGAAAAGCTGAAATTTATAAATGTATAATATTTATAAATGTTTAAGAGAATTTTTAGCAGCTATTTTCTACTAATTATTTTAATTGAAATGTTTATTATACGCAATTTTATAATAATAATCGTAAAATTCATTGAACAATTGAGTATTACATTTTAAAATGCAAGCATAATTTAATAATTATTTCACTTTATAACTGCAAAAGGGTAGATAACTAACTTCGTTATAAAGTTTTACATGATACGAGAATATTATACGATTGCTTTATAATGAAAGAACAACAATTTAAGTTTTAAACTTTTTGTGGAAAAGGAAAAATTTAAAATTTCTCCTGTCATCGGTTTTAGCGATTAGAGAGTCTTTTATCGTATAAATATTAAGCCAGTATTGTCAGTAAAAAAATTACTTGAATTTTGTCGATAGAAATTCCCTAATTATAGCAGCAAAAACTTTTAAATTTCTAATCAAACTTTCCTTCATTATAATTTTGTGTAAATAATTATTATTAATAATATAAGTGACTATTGATAGGAATTCATTGAGAATGTCCAATTTTAATGAATTAACTGTTTACGCAATCAGATTAATAATTTTTTTCATAATTTACAAATGGAGAAAAAGTCTTTACAGTTTAAAAGTGAAGAGAAAAATATAGTTGAGATTAAATTTATAAAATAAGCACAACCCGAAGGAGATTGAAGTAATGGCATTAAAATCGAAATTTCAAAAGAAAAAAAATCACGTTTTAGTGTACAGTGAGCAGTAAACAAAAATCTAAAACTAACTTTTGATCTAATGATCAGATGTATGTTTACGTTCTAGGACTCAATCTTAATGGATCGAGAGGGTGAATTCAAAAATGCCGCTTAATTATAGCAGACAATATATTTTAAGTTCGGAAATCAGACACTAAAACGAGCCTACTTTGAAAAAAAAATTTCCTGCGTATTCGGATTTTTGATCCCCAGTATATAGGGGTTGCCGCAATCTGGAAATATTATCCCAATAGTTTCGTCAGGAAAGCAATGCATTGTTAGGACCCTTTGTGTTAACTTTACTTTTTGCGCATTTCACCATATCTTGGGAACTTTCCAGTGAACTTTTAAGTGAATTGAAAATTTTTTGCACTCAATGTTTTAATGTTCATTTAATTTAATTTCCTTAATTCCCTACCATTATTGTAAAATATTTACTTTTCACCTAACTTGTAAAATTAAAAAGTTTAGAATTCTTTACAAAATCACTCAGGCGAAGTGATTGCGTTTTATTTAAATCTTATTTAGAAGGTATGTTTCTGAAAGTATTTCATTTAAAGTTTTTATCTAATTTTTGTTTCTTATTTATCTATAGTTATTGAAAGTTAAGTTGATATATTTTAAGTTGAAATGAATGTCGCCTTGCTTTGCATAGTTCAAAAATTATTTCAAAGGAAACATAACTTAACATTAAACACTCAGGATTTACAATTATAAATCAAACAATCACTACATTTATTAATTTAAAAACACTCTTATGAACTGATAATAAATTGATCTAAGTCCTAAATGTGAGTTCTATAATATATAATGCATTTAAACTCAGTATATACATCTGACCTCTGTTGTCGCCAATGGCTCAATTTTAAAATATAGTTTTTCTTTTACAAATTTTCGGATATTTTCATATGAAGGATAGTATTAAGTTTGAGAATTAAAAATTTTTGTTTAAAAAAGTTGTTAAAAATTATAATTATTATTAATAATTGACAACAGGAAGTTTTTAATTAAAGGTTGAAATTTTTTTTAATTATGTTATTTTTTAATTCCGTTATTTTTTTAATTATGTTTTTAATTTCCTAATTCATATAACAGTATTTAGGAATCTATAAATTTATGCTACGTATGATCGTTGCAGAATAACCTGTACACAGTATATGTAAATAAAATATATTTTTAAAATTGTGCATTTTCTATTAATTGCATTTATTATTCTTATACTGAAAGAGTATCAAGGTATATATCAGGGCTAAACAGAATAGAAGAGCTGGTTCACTCCTTTGAAGTATCTCTCGCCGCTCCGATCCTCTGACGTCACTCTAGTGACGTCACTTTGGCGCAAAGCTCGCACTTTTACTTCAAGAACGGAGCGTTTGGCGTTACTAGCTCTAACTAATATTGGATCATTTCTTTTTGCGAGATATTCTAAGACATTTGTTATTTTCTATAATGACTTTCCTCAGTTTTTGCAGTGAATTTACAAGAATTTAAAACTATTATCGAAATGCCAGTTTGCGCGATTGCAACTTGCAAAAATTCTGATATAAAAACAAAAGGAAAAAGTATAATTTTTCGCGTGTTCCCTAAAGTAAATGAACAACTATGTAAAGAATGGATTCCGAAATGACACAGTTAATATAAAACAGCAATACGTTTATTCTGTCGTAAAGAACTTTTATAAAAATTCATTATCTAAATAGAAACCGCCTCGTTACTTCATAAAGAAAGGCAGGTGAAAAGAATTAAAAAATAGATAAAGTCAAAGAAAATTAAAATGTAAGTAAAAAGTATAAATAAAATATATAGTATATAGTTGAAATTCTCCTAATTTCATAACATATTTTTTAATGTAGTTATTCTAAATATTTATGATTTTTTTTAAAAATTATATTCTCTTCAATTTAAATATCTATAAATTATATCATCGTAAATTTAAATGTCTATAAACAATTGTAAAATTTCTAATGTCATTATGAACCTAAATTATTATTTTGTTTCAGTAATTAGCGTTTAAGGTTGATGTTTCCTAATGATTAAGTATGAACAAATTGCTATTAACGACATATTTTAAAATCAGGGATTCTAAATTTAACTTAACTTATCTTTATAAAAGAATATGTAGATAAAAAAAGTGTCGATATATGCCTTCATTTTTCTTAATAGTTAAAGTTAAAACTGAACTTTTTAAAATAAAGTATTTATCGTGTCATTTTCACCAACTAGCAAAACATTTTTATAAGTTTAAAATGGTATTTTTTTAATATAATAACCAAGAAACCTTTTTTTAAACTATGTTTATGAACGGAAATAATGTGTTAATTACGTAAAGTTTGAAAAGTCTAACTTATTTTTACAAAGAGAAAGATGCAAAGTTATCATATTTTTGCTTGGGATCTCCGAGATCTGTGGACACAGTGACGTCATGAGGAGGGAAATCGTAGCTTCAGCTCTAAGAGCGGAGTGAACTAGCCCTTGTATTCTCTTTAGCCCTGGGTATATATGACCTCCATAATAAATGAAGTATTTACGGACTTTTATATATATTAAGGAATTGAATCAATTTTTCACGAAGTTTAAGATCTCATCCCATTGAAAAAAAAGTTATTTAATAAATATTTTTTTGCAATAAGTGCTTCTAGTAATAAAACAAACGCGATATAGGTCATTGCAGAAAAATCCCTTCATTTGTACATTTTTCCTTTCTTGAAATTATTTCACATATTTCTTTTTTCACTAGCGAATTTCCGATTACTTTAAAATTTTAAAAATATTGATTTTTACATTTGCAAGAAATTTTTACTTTAAAGCGTGATAACATTTTTGAATACTTCAAATTTTTTTTCTAATAAATAATATGTCTTTGTTAATTTCTAAAAAAAATTTTCATAAAAAAGTTTACATTATTCTGTGATTGGTTCATTAATAAATTATTTTTATTTCTTCACAAGCACAATTCTTGTAAAAAAAAATTAAAAAATTAAATCTGTTAATCAAAAAACTAGATCGTTTTATAAAATATAAATTATTGCGCTTAATAAAATATAAATACAGTTTATTTGTAACGTGATCCTAAGAATAAAAAGGTTATTTTCTTTTTTAATTCTCTACTAAAATGAATTAATGAGTTATTTTTATTCATCATGGCTACTCGAGGAGGAGAAAAAAAATATCGAATTTCACTGTTTAGGTTAGTGTAATTTCGTTCTCCCACCACATTTACACGTAATCCATCGCCAATTCCACTTACAATCGCCTAGTTTATAACCTACGGAATGTTTTGTCATTTCGCTAACCGTATGGTCGGACCGATAAACGTTGAAAAGTAAGCAAAGGATTTGAAGGATAAGCAAATCCTTATTACAATTTATATAGAGAATTTTTAATATGCTTTCCTAATTGTAGCCTTTTTTATGTTCTCAAATTTTGGAAATTAATAACAATACAACATTTCACATTACCTGCACTCTGGTGTTAAAAAAGGAGAATTTTTATATTTGGTTGATTATCTCCAGAACTACTGGACAGATTATAATA